GAGGGTTTCTTAGGGCCTTAGTAGGATTTACAGAAGTGCCCTGCCAGGATTCGAGGGCTCTTCCAGCTGTTTTGCTGCTGAGGAGGTCACAGAGAGTTTAGAAGGCTTTGTCAGTCTTCTGATTGTTAGAGGAGAAAGTGAACAGGCCGCAGTAGGCTAACCTAAAACTTAGTGGAATTTCGGTGAGCTTTGGTGAACTACTAAAGTGGGAAACTAGAGGGAAGGGAAGCCCCGCAGGGTTTACAGGGAAGTCTTCAGGGTACTTTTGGTGGTTTCGCTAACTCTAGTAACCAGTAGAAGGCGGGGAAGTATTTTCCCGGTGAACAGGAGTGGATTCCCGGTGAGGAGGGGAAACGTCGATGGGATCTCGAAGGGTTGCAGCACCATAACGGTCAAAGAGTTTTAGGGTTGTGGGATGTCAGTCCACGTCTCAAGTGTTAGGCGGCGTGCCCAGATTTCAAGGGACACACGTGCAACCCGTGCTGACAGCTGGAGCGAGGCATTAATAAGCCTTGGTCGTGAGACAGCAATAGGCCTCGGTTGATTGCGAGGTGATGATACCATCCTAGTGGCAGACGACCACAATCATGCCTCTGGCGATAATTAGTGTCTTTAAAAAAATGTCTTCTCGATGATCAGCTGCAGTCAGGAGGTAGGTTTCTTCAAATAGGGACCTTATGGTTATTGAGAATGAGGGGCCCCTTATTACTGAGAATGAACCGCATGCCTCTCCTCAACCTTCTATCTTTGGAGGTGAGAGCGAGTATGACCTGATAATCATGGGCAACAAGGCGATCCCTCTTGCCTCCTTAAGGGGGAGCCGTGCATCTTCTGCTCAAAGGGAACCTATCATAGGCTTCGCATTTGTAGTCTCCTCCTTTTCAGGACAAGTTATTCATCCTCTTGTCTGGCGCATTCTAGGAGGCTTTGTTGTTTCCCAGGGCATGATGCCTTTCTCTGCACAACTCACCAGACTCAATCGCCGTAATGTTTCCACAAACAACGAACGTGATCTTCTTAGAGCCGTGTATCAACGTTTCAACCGGGTTTATTTCTTTGAGTTGATCTTGTTCCCCTCTTTGGCGAAGAGGCTGATAGACAACCTTTTAGACTTCGAGCTTCGTGCGTTGACTTGTTAAAAATGAAGGTGACTGAAATGGCTCAATAGGCTCGGGAAATTCTATCTTTAGGAGAATCAACCTCTATTGAGAAATATCCCTCTATTAGGCGTTTACTTGAGTTCTTTCCTAGGCCTTTGACTGTCACCGATTCCATGGCGGTGCACTTGGGTAACCTTAAAACCAACTTTCTTGTGCGTCAATTTGTTCACCAAGATTTTGAGATTTTTCCTTCGGAGGTTCCTTCAATTGTTTAAGAAATCACATGTTTTGAGAATGACATTGACATGTTATTCTTGAATGCAACATCAAAGATTTGGAAAGCTTTCTCGCTATGGCCCATGAGGTAGGAAAAGACCCATTTTCGCATCAATTGGTACATGGGGAATACCCTCCTTTAGTCAGAAAGTATGCCCTCCTTCTGGCGACGGCCCCGAAGGATGGAATCAAATGGACACAACAAGACCATTACAGGCTTAGTCTTGAGGCTTGAGTGAACACTCTTGTGTATAAGTCTTTTTGCACCAATTGATAATGTTGACAATTGTATGAATTTTCAGTTTTCCTTTTTTTGTTAGAGTTTTGTGCAACATGTCTTTCACTCTTCTGTCTTCTTCTATTTTATTACTTTTCATCCTTTGTTAGTGTGAGACAGGAAAGAATATCCCACCCCTTGCTTTGCCTTGTGGCAACCTGCTATGGCTTCAATGACCTCGAATAGGAGAACAGTTGCTTCCTCCCCCTGTTCAAAGACACCGGAACATGGAGCACCTTCCTTGGTGGTTGGTATGCAAGTTCTGCTTCCAAAAAGGTGAAGGGGACATGCAGGACCTTTTTCTAGTCTGATGTATAGGTGACCCTCGGTGCTGAAATGTCTACCTTCGGGGCTTCCTCAAGCTCGGGGGCTGCTTCTTGCTCGCCATTTTGTTCTAGCGAATTAAAAGTAGAGGGGGAAGCTTTGTCTTTATGAGAGGATACCATGACCTTGGAGATGTGACAAGGTATGCTTGGTTGGATAGGGGTGAAGGGGGGGATCTTGTCCTATGTTTCCTCTTCTTTGAACATTTTCGTGATCATTCGCCACAGATTATTCACATCATCATGAGACGAAGGTCCTGTCTCTCTCACAAGCTTCCAATTATCATCCTTTGACTTTTATGACATTGGAAGTTCTATGAAATAGTACTTAGCGTTGGTATAATGAGTCTCAGCTATAGGGAACAGTCTTTTATCAGCGTCGATTGTGTATTGCCTTCATCTCGGTAGTGCTTGAAGCATTAGTGGAGTGTGGAAGGAACCACCCTCTGGTCGTGAAGCTAAAGACGACTATGAAGGACATTGTATGAGGTATCGGTGTTGATTACGTGGAATTGGGCATAATCGTTGAGATCACCAATCTTGAGACGAAGGCGCACTGTGCCGATTGCTTTTCTCCTGACTGGTTAAACACTTGCCCAATGATGTGGGTAAGAGTGAGGTCATCACACCCTAATCCTAATTGGGTGAGGATCCTTCTTGCGATCAGGTTGACTGCTGACCCTCCGCCTGGCATGATCCAATGAGAGGGTAGTCATCAAGTTCACCATTCACAAAGATGGGCAATTGTGAAATTTTCCTCCCAACCGAAGGTCATCTTCGGAAAAGGAGATTGTCAGGCACCCACTTAGGATGGCTGGGTCAACCTCAATGGGCTTCACTTCGGTCTCGTATTCCTTTGTTTTAGAAAGAGCTTGAACTAGAGCCATACGGTAATCCTTAGACAACAACAGGGTGTCATATATACTTAGAAGGGCTAGAAGCTTTCTCAAGTGTCCAATTATGTAATATGTCAGTTTATCCTCATTAGTCCTTTGTGTTCCTGATCCTGTCGCTGGTACGAGTGGTAGAGTAGGTTTAGGAATAGTTTTTTATTGAATTTTGGTTTGTGGCACTGGCTGACTTTTTTGTTCAGCCGATGCAGTCTAGGTTGATGAGGAAGTAATAAGAGCATGTGTTAAGGATGGAGAGGTTTGAGGTTGATGTTTACAGGAAAGCGGAGGACCAGGAAACTTGAGGGTCTTGGGCTTTTGAGGTGTGGGCTGTAGCTTCATTCATGATCTTATACCCATATGCCCCGTGTTGGCTAGTACTTCCAAGATCTGCACCACGTGAAAGGCTTCTTTGGAATGGGAGCCTGAAGATGACTTGGTTTTTGCTCGGGTTGACAGGGCATCAGCGGCTATTAAGAATCTAGCAGTCTGAGCCAACATCTCTCTGTGGCACTCTTATTGTGGCTAAGTGATGCTTGTGTCTCCGAACTCTTTGTTTAAAGTGTCGAAGTCTGGGCACCGTCGAGCTGCACTTGTGGAGAAAATAGAAGGGGAGGGAGGAGAAGAAGAGTTAGAGCATTTCAGGTAGCTTTTTACGTCATCGCCGGAGTTGGACATGCTTAGGGGATATTTTAGGTCTTGCCCCGGGTTTGACTGTCGTGGGGTGCTTTTAGTGTTGTCACCCATGTTCGGGGAATGCCGAGCTATTGGTGATTCGGGGATGTCCACCTGATTGGACAAAAGGATGAGGTGAGTTTCACCTGGGATAAAGTCATGCGAGGTCGGTAGGGGAGGAAGGGGAGGAATTCTTCTTCTACAAATGGCTAAGGAGGACAATTCCTTTGACAGGCCGACCTAAGTGCCTACCGTCTCCTTTGGGATCCTTGAGGGGGTGTCTAGACCACCCTATAAGGCTGGTGAGTATCCCTTGCTTGGTAGACTACCTCACGTTTCAAGGATTTGAGTCTACTCGTCCCATGGTAGACTTTACAGGGCTGAGAGGTCGACGACTCTGATGGGTCCAGTGTATACTCAAGAGGGGCTGGTAGTGTGGCTTCCTTTAGAACGAGACCGATGGCTTGGACACGTTATTGGAGAACCACACAAACGATGTGTCTCTACTGGACTTTCTCTACGACTATAACTTCAACCCCAAAGCTTTCGTTGAGTTTATGGCCCCATACTTGGTGATATGGGCACAAAAGGTTTTTCGTGCTCTAGGCAAGACGCCTCGGCTGCTGATAGGCTTGGGAGTGACAAGGCCTTGTTGGAGCATTACCTTGAAGATGGCTTGTAGAGGTCTAGCTTGGCGCTTCCTTGGGCTTGCGTTAGGAGGTCTTCTTGCTCATGCAAAAAAGGGACTCGAGGGTGTCCCTCTGGGTTTCCTTGAACTTCCTGGCACTGCTGCATCTTCTCTGCCAAGAGCTTGTGGAAGCTAGTGCATTCATTGACGTCATGGCTTCATATCTGGTGATACGCGCACTAGAGGTTCTCGGTTCCCGAGGATAGGAACTTGGGCTGCCTTGCTGACTTAGGAGTGACAAGCCCTACTTCAAGCATTATGGAGAAAAAAGCACAAAGGATAGCGGGTGCCCCATCGTCCTCTTGGATCGTGACTATGTGAGAAACCTCAGTTGCCCCGAATGCTCTTTTCAACTCTTTGATCTTTATTTGACCCTTGTTGATAAGGGCTTCGATCATGTCATTGAGATTATAATAGTCATAAGTGGGGTGGCATACCTTCTTATGATCGGCGCAATACTTCTCATTTGCCTCTTGCCCAGCCGACTTCATTGTATTAGCCTCTGGCAACTGTACCATATTCTGACCCAATAGCAGTCGCAATAGGGCAGGTGTCCACTCTGTGTTGAAGCGATAAACCTTATTCTGGTGTTGGACCCAGTAGTCGTTTCACCTAGAATTTTTTGGAGGCGGGACGCTATTGTAGGACTGGTGTTTGGCTGCGGTCGGAGATGCCTATGCCTTGGAAAGGTCCAGGGTTTGAGGAATCGCTCCTTTGGTGTCAGCCACGGTGACAGCCATGCTGATTACTGCCTTTTGACTGTCCCGACTAATGGCGCGAGAGTTGTCTGTTGAACAGCGGAAGGAAGAGGAGGAGTCTGTCAGTTGTCGTCTCTCGATAGGCCGCCTGGAAGTGAGCAATATGCTAGTGCGGAGACGTAGTACTGTTGAACAGGGGGAGCTTCCACTTTTGATAATTCGGAGGGAAGGGTACTTGGTCTATGTATGAAGGGTATGAATTTTGATAGGGCAGTGTCTCTTACATGCCTGGGACCTTGTTCTTGAGGCTATATGCCAACATAGCATCTATGTCGGTTTGGGAGACCCTGTAGAAGGTAAAACTGCCTTGGGAGGCTGATGGAGGAGTTTTCTTAAGAACTGTGTCCTCACCAGTTGGGGGATCGGTCGAAGACGAGGACCTAGAGGCCTCTAGGCATTCCATCTTTCACAGGATGTCTTGCATCATTTCCTCGAAATTGTTCATTGGCTCCTCCTGAGCGTCATCAGGGTCAATGATCACCATGACACTAACTGTCTCTTCTAGAGGGTCAGAGCTTGGCGGGACATTGGACTGTCGGGGTCAGCATGTGGTGCATGGAAAGTTAGTTTGGAAGGGTTCAGCCTGCCCCGACTAAACTCGAGCTTTGTATGCCGATCTTGTGAGGATCAGTTCTTAATGGTCATTGGACCGTGGCGTCTAAGTAATGACGAACTAAGAGTACTCTTCAACGTGGTGTAGACACCCCATTTTAAATCTTGCAAATTCTATGGTTTCTTGAACCCTTAGGACCACACTCAACCAATTAAACCCAAATACATAGTTCACATAGCCCAACTTGTGATCTGAAACCAGTTTTCTTGCCTGGATTTAGAACCCTTGTTTTGACCTATATTTCTGTAAATGCCCTGTTTTATCAAACAAATCCTTAAAAATAGTAAAAACTCCATTTTGACCCAAATTTTCTTTGAGAGCTTCAAAAGAGTAGGAACACATCTGAAAAGAAAAATTTTGATTTGAAGTATTTTTTCTTTGTCCGGCATAGGGCATGCTGCCCAGGCGACACGAGCCGTGCCGCCCAGGTGACACAAGCCGTATTGCCCATCCTTGGGCGACACAAAGTGTGTCACTCAGTCCAGATCGAGTTTTTTTCATTTTACTTGGGTGGCATGCCCCGTGCCTCCCAGGACGGAGAGAGAAACTTTGGGGAGGCTTGAGACTAGAGAAAAAAACCCTAGAGATAGATATTAGAAGCTCTAGAGAGCTACAAGAGATCGAGATCTGAGAGAAAAACTCAGAGAGAAAACCCTATCTAACCTAAGCCTAATAATCCTAGTTTCAAGCCATTTTCCAGGGCAGAAATACCATCAAAGACATGTTGATCAACATCTGGATCAGAAAGGCAAATGGAACCAGTTCCGATACTGGCGAGCCCTCGAAGGCTCGAGAAGCCCGGGCCATCTGGCCCGGTCGAGTATTCTCTTCACCTTCATTTTCTATTTTCTTTCACTGTATTTATTTTATTTTGATCTGGATTTGATTATTTTTATTGAAAATCATGTTTTGAAGTGCTGTTGGCTCCACCACAGATCCGAGAGTAGATCTGCGCGTTTCTGGGCAGATCTGATCTCATATATGAATTCGATTGTTCCCAACTTCTCCACCATTTCTTTTCATTTCATTTATCAGTTTAAAGTGTCATATCAGAGTGATCTACATCCATAGATCCCTTTGAGTTTTCACGAGAAACCCTCGGTCAGGCTCTAGAGTTTGGAGAGGAAAAAGGGGTTACAAGGCAGGAGGTCATCAAAGGTGTTGGCCTCAACTTCCTTAGAGACTTCTTTGGCCAGGATTCTTTTTCTGCTTAACCCTGATGCGATTGTGGACTTCACTCCAGAACCGACTCTGAGACCTGGACTGTCCCGTTTCTTGAAACACGAAAGGGTCATGTCTATGAGCTGGAGCAGGGAGCGGGGTTTGAGGATGGAAGGTAGCCTGGGTTTTTACCTTGGAGGCTAGAGGTCTGACATCAGGCCGTTGCCCCGAGTTCCTTTGTGGGGCCCATGTGCATGGCCAACCAAAGATGGCTCATGATGGAACTCTTAGAGAAGACTTTTGAGTACCAGGGCTCGAGGTGTTTGCCTAGTGTCGGGAAAGCGATAGAAAAAGGAACTGGTTTGTGACTCTGTCTGAGTTGAGTTTAGGAATGTACCTGCCAAGATGGTGAGTGTGCACCTTTAGAGATTACCATTTAGGTGACTTGGGGTTTTATTTGAGCTCGATCAATGAATACGACCTAAGGAGGTCGAGACCCACGAGCTTGTGTCTATGAGGGGTGAGGCAGAAGCCCATCTCACACAGGGTGAAACTGTGTGTGTTGGGAGGAAGGACGAAGTGATCTATCCTCATGTGCTTGAGGTGACGTACAACGAGGGCTTCCCCGGGTTATGAAAAGAAAATGCATGGCGCACGTAGGGTTTGGCCCGGGAAGGCTTAGCAATGGATGCAAGCTCAAGGCAACGTGACTGTTGCCCTGTGGTGTGGCTCGAGTGGATGGACCACGAGACCTTGGGTGTGTGCGCGGGGGGAAGATCTCATGATCTTTGCCCCTATGTGCCGACTCTCCAGGTGTGGAGGTTCGGGGTGGTGAAGAAGCATAAGGGGTTGCCTTTTCGTGAACCTCAAGAGCGACGACAACTTACTTGCCTTTCACGAGAGTGATGGGGGCAGCCTTCCGGCATGCCTCAGTAATATGACTAGGGTAGTAGGGTGCATGGCAGCATGTGCTCTAGCCATGCTAAGGGCCTTGGTGGAGAGTCCACCAGGGCAAGAAAGCGGGGAGGTAAGGACCTTTAAATCCCCTCTCGCATCGATCCAGCTGAGAACCTGGGAGCCAGTACGATAATCTCCACTCAGGAGGATGGTGAGGAAGGAGGCCTGAGCGGCTCGCTTCCTCGGAACAGCCACGAGTGCCGGGATAAGGAAGTCCCTGACTCTGACAAATGGGTTGAACAACCTATATGCCATAAAAATAAATGCAGAAAGTAAAAGAGGATACTGATCAAACAAAAGGGAGCCAACTAAGGGGAAATAAGTCCCCAGTGTAGTCGCCAAGCTAGTTAGGTGCCTCGATCTCACCTTCCGGATTTGGATGATCTGACGGCATGTATCTCGGGTTTCTGATGGACCTGGGATTTGAGACCCACCCTTGTCTTAGGGCAATGTACATTCATGCCAGGAGGCGATGAAGTGTAAGGCTTAAATAAAGATAGAAAATAGAATAAAAGTTGACGAAGAGGTGAGACTATTATTACAGCCGGGGAGTTATCGACTCAGAGTAGTAACAAGATGGGCATGGTTCTCAAGACCAGCATGATGGAAATACTACTCGGAACTGAGACCAATCTGGCGATGCTAGGCTAAGTCTACCCTCAATCCAGCAAGAAGAGAAATGAGAATGAAAAAATAAGAGACGAGAAGGCATATATATGAGGTCCCGATAGCGTTAGGCGTTGCTAGTCACGACCATGGAGTAGCAGTGTCGCGACCCTTGGGCGTCGCTCCACATTACTACACATGGCCAGAGAATAAGAAATGAACTATGGATGGTTCTAGGAATCGCATGGAAAAAAGAAAACACCTCCGCGCACAGGCGGTGAAAGTTTCTGATGAAGCACGTGACGATGGTCATTGATGAAGCACACGACGGTAATCCTCATGAGGCGCACGGTGATAAGCGTGGGGCACAGGAAGGATGGCGATGAACGCCGAACACACGAACGAAGCATGCAGATGGTGGTAGACGTTGTCGACGTCGATAAAAGGTGACGATGGGTATTACCGTCTACTATAGATTACGTAATAAGGAAGGACCCCTACGAGCGACAACGAGTTTCACCACCTGGGTTCTTAACTAAGACATCCAAGCTACGTCTGTGGACAGCAATGGACAACGCAGTCTACAAGCCCCACTGGACGTAAGAGATAGAATAAACAAAGGAGAAGGAGACTCGCACATGGCACTGCCATCGTCATGTGTGACCTATGTGACCTCAGGGGATGCATGCACGGCATGGTCACTGCCATGCACGACTGCAGTGAGGAACTCAGATAGAGATGAGGCAGAAGAAAGGAAAGAAGAGAGAGGGAAGAAGAAAAGAAAAAGAAGAGAGAGAAAGTTTACCACGACCTTAGGAGTTCCGACATAAAGTTTCTCTCACCTCACTCTATCTCTCAAACGTGACCCAATAATGAGAAGAAAGAGAAACTTGTATTAAGTAAAAACTCTTTCTTTTATGAAACATTGAGTCCTTGGTGTGCACAATGTTGGTATGTATATATAGAATTTGCCCCTAACATGGGTGGTTCATCAAAATTAACCTTAATTGCTAAAAATTAAGATTAAATTGAATTAAAAAAATTAGAAAATAAGGTGCAAAATGATAGATTTACCACTTCCTAACAATTCGTAAGATTCCATAACAGTCCTTGCTTTTCTCTAGAACTTGCGTGATCTTGCATGGTTGATCCGAGGGCATTTTGATGCCTGGTTGATCGTATGATGATTGTTTTCTTGTAGGGCTCGGTATGGCAATCAATTTGATACCAACTTCGAGCCATGGATTGTGTTTTTAGTGCACGATCATGGGACTTGAAATTTGAATGGATCTTGAAACTTCGGATCGATAGTGTACTCATTCCTTGATGTTTTTCAGTGATTTCTTCGTCGACATACACTTAGCATGCCGTTACAATCATGGGGCAACAAACGCAGCTTGATTTCGTGCCCCAACGAAGATTTTGCAACTTTGGAATGTTGGTCGAAATCTAGAATTCCAGCGACAGAATTTACAGTCGATTCGTCGGCTTCGTGTGCAGAATTTGACCATTCATCACTTGCTATGTTCGGGTCTGAGGTAGCTCGAGACCTTACGCATACGATAGAATTGATCTCCCATCGAACGGGCTCACGAGCGGCATGATTTGGCCGCTCGAGTGAGGCACGACGCTTCTGAATTTCCTACAACTTCTTCATAGATCAACATCTTTGCTCTAGCTTTTCTTCACGCTTGGGTGTCGTCACGGGGCGTGCCACATATTGAATCGCTTGTCTTGATTAGACGAACATGCTCACCAAATTTGAGTATGATCCCACTTGAGACAGTTGAGATATGAGCGTCAAAATTCACTAGCCATGACTATCCCTTCCATGGCGTGGAGTTGCAGGGTGGCCGCACGGGAATAGCGTGTGGCCCCCTTCGGTTTCACTCGTTTGCCTATAACGTCTTTCTGGAGCCCCCGTTCCGGCTAAAATTTGATGCTTGAGGGTTTTCAACCATACAAAATCTAATGGCAGTGGTCCCAGCAATTTGAGATACCGAAAATGTAGAAGGGCCATTTTACGGTGCTAGAGGCCGATTCTGTCAAAATCGTTTCTCAATCTTCACTGCCTTAAACATATCAGAATGCGACGAAACTTGGCAGGAGACTTCCAAGTGACCTCATGAAGATTTTGGCTGATTTTAAGGCTATTCTGAGACTGTTATAATTTCCAATGTTTGCGAGGCTTTATTAAGCAGGGACCTCATGTTGATAAAAAATACCTTCCAATAGAGACCAGCGAAACCACCAAAGAAGAAAGCAAGAATGAGGCATGCATGACCTCTAAGAAATGCCAAGACGACGAAGAAGAACGAGAAGAGGGAGAAGAAGAAAGAAAGGAAGAGATAAGCGAGAAAGATTTACCTTGAGCCTAGAGGTACCGATCCAAAAGTTTCTCTCTCTTTCCTCTCTCTGTTAGAACATGACCCTATAGTAAGGAGAAAAAGAGATTTTGTTAAGCAAAAGCCTCTATGGTGAAAGTTTTGTGTACAATGATAGTACGTGGTATATATAGAGTTTTGCCCAAACATGCGTGGATGATCAAAATTAAACCTAATTTATGGAAATTAAGATTTAACTGAATCAAATAAAATAGGAAAATAGGGTGCAAAATGATAGATTTGTCTCTTTCTAACAATTCATGGAATTCTAAAGCAATCCCTGCTGCTGCTGTAGAACTTGCGAGATCTTTCATGGATGATCTGGGGTTGCTCTGGTGCATGTTTGATCGATTGATGATTGTTTTCTTGTAGGGCTCGTCAAGGCAATCGATTTGATACCAACTTCGAGCCATGGATCATTTTTTAGGCCATGATCATGTAACTTGAATTTTTGATGAAGCTTACAAACTTCGAATCCATAGTGTGCCCGCTCCTTGATTCTTTTATTTTGCTTTCTTCATTGGATCACACTGAGCATGCCATCATGATCGCGTGGCAACAAACGCAGCTTGATTTTGTGCCTGGATAATGATTTCATAACTTTTGAGTTTTGGCTTCAGAATTTGCAGTGAATTCATCGGATTTGTGTGCAAAATCTAACGGTTCATCATGCACGAGGTTTGGATCTGTGATAGCCATGAGTCTCATGCACGCGGTGCAATTAGTTTCACGCCGATCAGGTTTACGAGCATCGTGATTAAACCGCTCGAGTGAGGCATTTCGCTGTTGATTTTCCTGCAACTTTCTTCACGGATCGAAAAATTCTCTCTAGCTTTTCTTCCCGCTCGAGTGTCGTTATGGGGCATACCATATATCGAAACGCTCGTCTTGGTGACGAACACGCTCCAACAAGTTTGAGCATGATCCGATCTTGGACGAGGGAGATATAAGCATCGCAATTCACTGTTCGTGAATGTCCCTTTAATGGAGTTTAGTTGTAGAGTGGCTGCACGTGAATAGTGTGTGGCTTCTCCTGTTTCGATATTTCTCCTATTTTCCTGTAGTGTTTGTTTAAGTTGAAATTCGACCCTTAGGGGTTTTCAACCGTACCGGTTCCAATGGCAGTGGTCCCATAGGTGTTTGAAGCTCCAAAGTAGGGTTCCAATTATAGGGGTCTGTTTCAGGGTGCTAAAGGCTAATTCTGCTGAAATTGCTTCTCATTCTGCATTTCCTTAGACATGTCAGAGGATGATGAAGCTTGGCAGGAGACTTTTAGGAGTCTTATGGAGATATTGACCTATTCTAGGGCCGTTATGAGACTGTTGAAATTTTCTCTATTTTGTTAGGCTTTATTGACCGGCTACTCTTTCTTTATTCTACATCAGACCATGGTGCTGCAAAATGCCTTCAAACAATGCCCTTTGTGGGTTTTCAACATGGCCTCTACTTTTTTTTTTGGTGATTTTACCTGTAGCCCCACTTTTTTTTTGGGGGGGCTATGTTCTCCTGAAGCTCTTTTTATTTTACTCATGATGGCTGCCATCACGCCCAACTTCTTTCTTCTTCTTTTTCTTTTTGAGAGGGGGATGGAGGTCACTGGTACAGTGAACCTTGATAGAGGAGTCTTGAGAATCTTGAGCATGTGACCTTGCCTCGGGTAGGTTGTAGCGGTCAGGGGCCGAGGCAGGGTGTCTTTCTTCTTCTTCTTCTTCTTTTTTTGTTTCCGAGGCACTGCCCCAAAGAGTTGCTTTATAAGGACCCAGGGGGGTTGCGCCCGCGTGAGGTCAATGATAATGGCATCCTTGGGAGGTATGCAGTGGAGAGCCTCCCGTGGGGTGAAGACACATCTACGGGGTGAGGTGGAGATGGTACCCGCGGGGTCTTGGTGGCAGCGGCCGCGAGGCTGTTGATGACATCCACGGGGTGGTTGATGATGGCACCCGTGGGGTGGTCGATGATGGCCTCCTCGGGGTGTGGTGGAGATGGTACCCGAGAGGGGTTGATGGTGGCACCCACGAGGTGGGAGATGGCATCCGCTTAGTGGTTGATGATGGCGGCCGCGAGGTGGCTGATGAGGGCACCCATGGGGTTGGATATGGCATCTGCGGGGTTTTACTGATGGTGCTCGTGGGGTGGTTGATGATGGCACCATGATGGTGCTTGCGAGGTCTGGTGGAGATGGTACTTGCAGGGTGTTAATGGTGGCACCCGCGGGGTTTTTGTGTAAGGACACAAATTTTCTGTACTTAGATACTCACGAGACTAGGACACTCACGATGGTAGAAAGAAGCAAGCACATGCCCGACCTTAAGAGAGAAGGCTAACACTGCATGTGTAAGGGTATCACCGCGAATGAAAAAGAGGTAGTGCCGCATGTGAATGGAGGCATCGCTATGAGCGTGAGGGGGCATCACCATGAGCGTGGGCGGGAATCGTCATGAGCGTGAGAGTGCATCGCCATGAGTGTGAGGGGGACGTTGTCAAGAGCATAAAGAGGGATCGCCACGAGTGTAAGGGGTAATGCCATCCGTGAGCAAGAAGAAGCGTTGTGCATGAACGAGAGGAAACGCCGTGCGCATAAGTGTATCACTGCATTTGGACTTGTTTGCGCATTGCCGCGTGTGTAAGAAGCAACACCGCTACCGAACTGAACTCGGGCCATGCATGAATTAAAGAAGCAATGCTGCGAGCGAACTGGACTTGCGCTGCGTGTAAATTGAAGGGCTATCACTGTGAGAGAAAGAGGTAAGGCCGTGCACGAGAGAGGGGTAATGCCATGTGCAAGAAGTGGCCAACGCCATGCATGTACCGCCGAGAGTGTTGTGGGTAAACCATCGGCACTGTTGGAGTAGGGTAGTCCATGAGGGACTTCATTTTCTTTTCCCTCTTTTATCCTTTTCTTTCCCTCTCTAAGTGTCACTATTTTGCTTACCACTTGGAGGCGGGCCTTTTCTTTCCACTTGGAGGTGGCTAGTTGCCACCTCACCCCTCACCTCCTTTTCTCTTTTAAAACCCCAGCCCTCTCCCTCTCTCTACTTTCCCTCACATCTCACTTCTCCTCATCTCTCTAAGGTAAAGTTTGGAGAACTTCGAGGAAGCCATTGTTGGAGCAAGAGAAGGCTATGAAAGAAGGTTTGGAGAAGGCACCTTTGTTGTTCAGGTAAGTGGATTTGTGTCATGAATGTGTTCAAGTAGGAGATAAAAATAAGTGTTTCGATGTTAAGAGTAAGGTTGAAGTTTTGTAAATTTTAGTGATAGACTTCATGACTGTATAGCCTATGTAAATGATGCAAATGTTTGCTAAATCTTTCAGTAAATGTAGTTTAATGGGGTTAGATTTTGACTGAGTATCAAGCTGTTGTTTGAGGGGTGTAATTTGTGAATGTTTATGCATGTACATGTAAGAAAAGCTTGAGAAAGAAATGGCGGAATGAAATTCCACGAACTCTAGGTGTTTTTTTACCCAATTGCTCAGTGACCAAACGGGGTCCAAATGAGCTCAAGTCAGTCTTGAATGAAATCTATGTGCGTCTACTACAACTTTTATTGTTGTAAAATCATGATATTTTTCACATGTCAAGATTTAGACTTCAATAAGTAAGACTATGTTGCTGTTAATGGACAACAGATTTCCAGCCACTGTCATCTACATTGCACAAAACATTTGAAGGACCAACAAGTGTGCGAATTTATTCAAATCATAGCAATTTGAACTGTGCGTGTGTCCACTATATTGTTCATGTTAAAACCATGTTCAAATCCTACATGAATCAGAAGCTATACTTTCAATTATGAAAATAGGTCACTATGGACAGTTTTAATAAATTACATAATTGATGTTTCTATTGTCATGCATTTTAAACGACCAAATGATGCCCGTTTTCCTCCAAAACATGGTTATTTTAAATATTTATGAGTAAGCTTCAAATCACGTGTTGAACACTTTTCGAAAGTCTTCCAAATTTGAGAGTTACATGATTAAATGAGAAGCATGTCACTATGGATAGCTATTATGGAAACATAGAACTGATGTCACCTTTTCTACCAATTTTTGACTGACCGAAATGATCCTTTTTCTTCCAATCATCACCATTTGCAAGGTTTATGGGAATACTTAAAACTAAATGCAAGGACTTTTGTAAAAAACCCCTTAGATTGAAAGCTACGTCCATTTTACGAGGATTAGGTCACTATTGACAGAACTTCTCAGAAATCATGCATGCTCAAATGTGAATGCTATTTCGTGACTGTTATGTGATATTCAATTAGTGAATGTGAATTCTATGCATTGAATACGATGAAAGGAATGTGAATGCTATTTAGGAACTGTTATGTGGTACTCAATTAGTGAATGTGAATGCTATGCAATGAATGCCATGAAAGGAATGTGAATGTTATTTAGTGATTGTTATGTGATATTGAATTAGCGAATGTGAAAGCTATGCTGTGAATACCATGAAAGGAATATGAATGCTATTTAGTGACTGTTTTGTGCTATTCAATTACTGAATGTGAATGCTTTGCAATGAATACCATGAAAGGAATATGAATTCTATTTAGTGACTCTTATGTGATATTCAATTAGTGAATGTGAATGTTATGTAGTGAGTATCATGAAAGGAATGTGAATGCTATTTAGTTACTATTATGCGATATTAAATTTGTGGATGTAAATGCTATATAGTGAATACGATGAAAGGAATGTGAATGCTATTTACTGACTGTTATGTGATATTCAATTAGTGAATGTGATTGCTATTTAGTGACTGTTATGTGATATTCAATTAGTGAATGTGAATGTTATGCAGTGAATACCATGAAAGGAATGTGAATGCTATTTAGTGATTGTTATGGGATATTCAACTAGTGAATGTGAATGTTATGCAGTGAATACCATGAAAGGGATGTGAATGCTATTTACTAACTGTTATGGGATATTCATTTAGTAAATGTTAATGATATGCAGTGAATACCATGAAAGGGATGTGAATGCCACTTAGTGACTTCTATGTGAAATTCAATTAGTGAATGTGAATGCTATGCAGTGAATACCATGACGGGGATGTGAATGCTATTTAGTGACTGTTATGTGATATTCAATTAGTGAATGTTAGTGCTATGCAGTGAATACCATGAAAGGGATGTGAATGCTATTTGGTGACTATTATGTGATATTCAATTAGTCAATGTTAATGCTATGTAGTGAATACCATGAAAGGGATGTGAATGCTATTTAGTGACTATTATGTGATATTCAATTTGTGAATGTGAATGCTATTTAGTGACTGTTATGTGATATTCAATTTGTGAATGTGAATGCTATGGAGTGAATGTTATGTGATATTTAATTTGTGAATGTGAATGCTATGGAGTGAATACCATGAGTGGGATGTGAATGCTATTTTGTGACTGTTATGTGATATTTAATTAGTGAATGTGAATTCTATATAGTGAATACCTTGAAAGGGACGTGAATGTTATTCAGTGAATGTTATGTGATATCCAAATAGTGAATGTGCATACTATGTAACAAGTATCATGACATGAGTGTGAATATTAATTAGTGAGTGCCATATACCATTCATGTGCTGAAGTGCCTTGTAATGAACGTTATACAATGAAATTCTATGTGCTGGCAATGTGAAAGGCATGAGTGCTAAAGTGATGAATGTTAAGTGAAGAGTGGTCTGATTCCATGCTCCAAGCATGACCCTCTATTGTGTTTTGTAATAGTGAAGTGATTCAAGGACACCACGCATGGGTTACCCATGGTGATATGATGTGACTTGATAAGAGAGTAAGGCTGGCAATGTTCCCTAACTCCCTGTATGTTAGGAGCGGAGTTAAGAGAAAAGTTTAATGGGTGAGTCGCGCCCCTCAAAATTCAAAGTATTATAAGAACTAAATAGTGAGTGATGCCTTGCAAGGTATGTTCCTATCGAAAATCCCAATACGCTTTGGGGACTATGTGTGAGTACGAGGGCATTACGAAGTGGATTCACCCACTTGTTATTGCCCTCCCTTTTGAGAGATGGTAGAGGTACTACACATTGGGATTGGCTTAGCCCGATGGATAGGGCTTCTACTTCAGGAGTACGTGAATCTAAGGAGTGAGAGGTTAACAATTGAATGTGTGATTGTGACTCTTGGTAGTGAAACTGGTTTTATGATAATCATGATATGCGATATGCCATATGTGATGAATGTATTGGAAAGATTGCCAACATGATACTTTTTCCATTATTATTTCATATAGATAAAAGAATTCTTCAAAATGCCATAATAGATATGTTATAGAAATATAACTTCTAGATCCTCCTACTGGGCTTTATAGCTCATTCCTCTGCTTCTTTTCTTGTAGACTAATTGTTGCAGATTTAGGACGGACGGGCGATGATCGTGACCCATAGATTGAAGGCATGCATCAATAAGAAGACCTCTTTGTTTTGTAGGTTTTAGATGGTAGTTGGTCGTTCTGTTGTGTTTGTGAAGTTATGTATTTTGTGGTCAAGCCTGTGGTGCCTTGGTTGAATTGTAACATTCTGAATATTGCTTCTAACCTTGGAGACTGTATGTGGATATGAAATGGTTATAATTTATTTAGCTTTTGTTCTGGTTCTTGTGGGTGCGTTTGCTTTCTTTCGTGGTTTGTGCTTTCTTTCGTGGTTTGTACTGGTTACCGTTTTATAAAACGTTGAGCCACTCTAACTTGAGTGACATTCGCGACCTCTGTGATCGCGATCATGTGCTCTGTCTCCCTTCGGTGGTGTACGGTATGGGGTTAGGGGGTAGGGTCGTGACAGTTATGGTATCCGAGCAACCAGGATAGAACTCTTGGCCTAAGAGTCTTAGAAGTGTCTGGGTGTTCCTCTTTTGGGTCGAGATGGAGAGGATGCGTGTCCACACTTCTGAGCAGTAAATTGTACCTTTTGATCTTACCTTGGTGTGTGCACACCTTCTTGACAGGCTCTTTAGTAAATGGCTCAAGGTTAGGTGTTGTGGGATTCTGTTGGGAGCTAGAGCCCTACCTATAAATTTGATTTAGTTGGACGCTTAGGATTTTAGATGCCTCTCTAGGTGTGAGAGAGTTGTGTATTCATGCCTCAGTAGGTTGTTTGGAG